CCGTTATGGCACGGAGCACATTTCTAAGTCAAAATGCACAAAACACACCATGGTCGGACCACTTTTGGAAGTTGCGATGTCAAAAAAGTGCACGCCGTTGTGGCGCGAAGCACATTTCGAAGTGAAAATGTACAAAACGCACCATGCTCGGACCACTTTTGCAAGTTGAGATGTCGAAAAAGTGCACGGCGTTGTGGCGCGAAGCACATTTCGAAGTGAACATGTACAAAACACTAGGGGTTCGGACCCCACTTTTGGAGGTTCAGATGTCGTTTCGCGTGGCAGGCGCAAGGGATTGTGCACCTCTTCAAAAGTGAGCAAAATGTGAGGGTTTTGTAGCATTTCCAAAAACGATGGCAGGCATGGGACATTTGAAGAGGATCTGCAAAGATGCATTTTCCGTGGCAGGCGCAGTACAAAAGACATCGTCATGAGAGATGTTAGGAGGTCAGGGCGCTGATTTCCTGAGAGGGGTTGCATTTTGGGGCATCAGATGTGCAGGTTTGCTAAGATGATTTTGCGTGACAGGTGCAGCACTTCGTACTGTATGACCTGGCATCAATTTTCTGTGGCAGGCGCAGTACTTTAGACAGGTGGACTGGAAAAATCGCAAAACGCATTGGTACGAGGCTGTCAGCTCACCCTTTCCATTTCTGAAGGAAGTCTCGCAGAATTCTTTCGTTTTTGATGTCTTCAATTTCGATAAATGAGGAAGTCTCGCAGAATTGCTTCGTTTCGGACGTTGTTATTGTTATGTTCAAACATTAAGGAAGTCTCGCAGAATTTCTTCGTTTTTGATCTTGCAGATAGATAGATAGATCGATAGATAGATAGGTTAGATAGATAGATAGATAGATAGATATAGATAGATAGATCGATCGATCGATAGATAGATAGATAGAAGGAAGATAGATAGATAGATAGATAGACAGACAGACAGACACACAGAGAGAGAGAGATAGATTGAGACATAGATAAATAGATAGATAGGTACATAGATAGATAGATAGATGGATAGATAAATAGATAGGTAGACGGATAGATACATAGATAAATAGATAGATAGATAGATAGATAGGTACATAGATAGATAGATAGATTGATAGATAGATAGGTAGAAAGATAGATGGATAGATAAATAGATAGGTAGACGGATAGATAGATAGATAGATGGATGGATGGATAGATAGATAGATAGAAACATAGAAACATAGAAACATAGAAACATAGATGCATAGATCGATAGGTAGGTAGATAGATAGATAGATAGGGAGATAGATAGACAGACAGACAGACAGACAGATAGATAGATAGATAGATAGATAGATAGATAAACAGATAGATCAGTAGGTAGGTAGGTAGATAATCAGAGAAAGATAGAGAAACAAAGAGAAAAAGAGAGAAAGAGAGAAAGAGAGAGAGAGAGACCAAGCACCTTTCAGTCCATCAGTGGCTTTGCTCTGCCATCCCTGATTCACAACAACCAACATCTCCTATAGGTTTCCTATTTTTGAAACTTCCGCCACCGCCTTGTGCGGTACTACTGGAAGTCATATTTTAATTTATTATATGTATTTTTGCAAATTATATTTTATATTATGTTGTTTTAGTTTTTTTTTAAAAATTCATATAATATAATATAATATAATATTATATTATATTATGCTTTATTTTACCATATTATATCATATTATATATATGTTACTATTTTGAATATTTTATTTTGTTTTAGATTGTATTTTATACTATTTTTTAAAGATATTGTGTTATATATTATATATTAAATTATATTATATACTATATTATTATTATGTATATTTCTATATTATGTTTGTTTATATATGTATATTATAAAATTTATTATGTTTTCATTAAATTATATATTGTATCATATGATTTAATATTATATGATATTTTTTTGGATTATTTAAAATATTATATTTTACATACTATATATTATTATATTATACATTATATTTTACATATTATATACTATATATTATTTCATATTATAAATATAGTATATTGAATTGAATTATACTATATTATAATATTATTGATATCATTATATAATCACAATATTATTGATATTATTCATGGATATTGTTCACATTCTAGTCTCTTTGTTTGTAATCCAAGTTGCCACACTGTCAGGACAAGACCAAGGGTCTGAAAGACTATGTGGATGACATCGTTGAAGAAAGTCGCTCCAGTTTTCATTACGGTGGAAATGCAAAGGGACGCCCCAAGATTGCGGAGAAAAAACGGACGCACTTGGGCAGCAAAGCCACCGGCAATTTTGATGAGGATGCCTCTTAGTTGCACCGAGAAAGTGTGAGGTTTTGATAGGTTTTGTTATGTTTTGTCATTCTTCCATACACAACCGCTATGTATCGAGATCATTCTAGGTCGAAACATGCCGAATTTTGGTGTAGACTCTCGACATGAGCTTCGTATGTTCGGGTGAAGTTAAGGACATCAATCTGGAAGAGGCAACACCATTAGAGTCCTTGGTGATGCGCACCTCGCACACTTGGTACCTCTCAAAATTTGCGGAATTCATGCGTCTGTGGCATCCCTACGACATGTATGCAAAGTACTCCATGGGCCTGGGGATACTGTGCTTGGGGCACAGCAGCGCTTACTTCGCCTTGGGCTATCTGTCGGTGCAGGGCTACTACTTGACAGAGTATGCCGCAACTGTAGAAACTTAGAGTGACATCAGCTCAACATTTTTTTCTGCTGCTTCAGTGCGACTCCGACCCAGTGCATTCTCAGCCATCTTCTTATACTCTCAAAGGTGTCAGTGTCGTAACACAAGTTTGAGGCTCGTGGTATGGTCTGAGGATTAGAGTCTAGTGAGGAATGAGCATTTCCAAACCAAAAACAATCTTATGATTTTATGACCTGAACCTCAAACGTGTCAATGCTCATGGGTCCTGAGATCACTTTTGCCTTCATCTTTATGGTGGTGCTCATCATTCAGAGCACCTTCAGTGCTCCTCGCAGATTCGTGCGCATTGCAGCTGTGCTGGGTGTGTCGCTTGGACCTGCTTGTGCCACCATCGCTGCAGTGGTTGTGAGTGACGTCGCCAAGCAGATCTTGGTGCCGGCGGCCTATGCATCGCATTTTCTCTTGTGGGTGCTGGTGTATTACGTTGCTCACCAGATGCCAGATTCCCACACACACTTTATACGCCCTGGTGAAGGGTTTTGGAGCAATAAACACAAGAAAAAGGAGAAAAATAATCAGGATCCACCGAGTGATCGGGGCCATCCTCCTGATCTGGAGAGCGAGCCCCAAGAATCCCAAGATAGCCACCACCGCTGGAAGAAACAAGAAGAACACTATCACCAAGAATGGCGGCGGAATTTGCCAACAATGAGCAAGACCCAGTACCTTGAGCAATCGCCATGTGCACGAAGTTCTCTTCGGGCTTTGACCTGTGGCAATGGGAACCTGCCGTGTGATGGGCCATCTGCCATCCCAGAGGAACCTGAGCCAAAACCTCAAGGGGAAGGGTCCTTCAAAGACTACCAGGATGAATGTAAATCCCAACGCGGTGATGTAGTAGGCTGGCCTACAGATGAAGATGAGTTTTCAATCAATGCTGAGAAGACCAAGAGTCATATCAAGAGCACTGCCCATTGCACAATTCTGGCCACTATTTGCCTCTGGCTGGCCATGGTCATTTGGTCCATTCTGACTTATTGGTTCGCGCCCTACGAAGTGCCTGCCATGTATCTTGAGCTTGCAAGGCCGCCACAAGTCCAGTGGCCCAGTGCTTCCTTCAGGCCTAGACTGCTGGCGTGCAAAGAGCCCATTGCCGTCATGTCAGATTCTCGTTCAAATAGTGAGTGCCCCCTCCCTGTTTGGGATAATTAAGTACATTAAAAATCATTGAAATATATTGAAGATATTTGAAGTGTGTTCCGACTGGCCTCCCACTTAACCCCAAAGCTGTTGCATCAATTGGCGTATTCCGCCAGATCAGTCAGCTATGTGCAATAATGTGTTCATGTTTATGCTTATACCCAGGGCCACAATGCGTTGAACAATGAATTTTCATGAATTTTCAAGCATTTCAAAAAGAATATGTGGAATATGATGCACTTAACTTCGCAATCATGGACATGACTTTCTCGGAGTCTGGAGTCTGAAGCCATTTCCTTCTGTAAGTCGTGAGACAGGATGGCTACAAGCTCTTTGAGTTTGATCTCGCTTCAGAGTCCACGAAACCCATTAGTTGTCCTGGGCTGCGTGGCCGTGTCAGTGATGTTAGTCTGTCCTGCACTCCAGAAGGATGTGTTCCCGTTGCTTTGGCTGGAAATCGCGTGGTACACTGCAAGTCCGGCCCAATGACTGTGCAAGACAGCCTGGCACAATTCACTGTACTTGGTGATGGCGTAACTCGTGCTGCATTCCGAAAGGTTTTCGTGTCCATTCTTTTGCAGATCACTTATTCGTGCTGCACTGGGACAAGCCGAAGCAGCAATAAAACTCACGGCATCTCATGGCTATCACATTCAAGATATGCCTGTTTGCTTTCAGGCTCATGCTTTTTCAAGAAGCTGTAGTCTTTGTTCTGGGTATCGAAACACATCGATGTCAACAAAGCTGCATTTTTCCTGGCAAGTTAGCATATGTCTTTTATGTATTATATACAATATATATATATGCATGTATGTTATATTATACCGTGGTAAGTATTTGCACTTGAGACGCCTCAGCCTAGGCAACCTTCCAAGAGCAACGATTAGTCAGCGCAAGATCTTCCGAGCTAATCTCCTACTCTTGGTCAGACGATGAATGGTAGCTTTTCTGTAAATGCATGTCAAGATGCGGTCTGTTTTGCTGTCAATAGAGTCCCACAAGACTTTCAGATACTTTTAGCCTGTTTCTTTGTGATTTAGAGGGAGCAGACGGAATCTGCCAGGATTTGTTTCGACATCACACTAATTTTATCCCAAGCACTCTTTGTTTATTCTCGACCGAGATGCAAGACCATTGCTCAGTGAATCAGGGAATATATATATATAAGAATGAATATGTACATAAGTAGCAATAGTATCTTTCTTTCCAGCTTCATCCTTAAAGGTGTTAAATGTAGGATGTTCAAATATGTTTGAATGGCCAACTGGTGCTTCAAAGCGATGTTTCTTTCAGATCAGATTCTCCGAACAGTGGACCAACGCAGTGCTTGAATGCTACGCTTCGTTGCAGGCAGACAGATGCCTTTCTGGGCTATGCTCGCTTCCTTGCAGAGCTTGGTGGCACCTCATTGCTGACTTATCAATGGCTTAATCAATGGCTTATGAAAAGGTTTCGTTTTTTTTGTCGCAAGCCCTTGGTTAGTCCTAGTTACCTAGTTGGCTCATCTAACTTTCCGCTGGGTGAAAAAACTGAGTTTGGTGGATATCACGTCGCCGTTTTAACATGTTTTAACGCCATTTGTAATATATGAAGTATATGAAGTGAATCTTGGATTGATATTGTTCACATAATTTTCATAGAGACTTTGAAGATGCCCTTTGTGGTCCTAGGCGTTGACAACCGGAAGCTTCACTCCGACGAGGGATTGATCGCTTCTCAGCGACAGAATGTAAGAAAGCGCAATGCATATCCCATGTCCCCCTTGGGGATGGCTGGATCAACCGTTGGTACAGGATGTATATCATTGGTTTCACGATATTTCACATATATTTCACATTTATTTCATTATGTTTCATTATACTTCATTATCTTTCATTATGTTTCAGTATATTTCATTATATGTCATTATATTTCATTATATTTCATTATATTTCATTATTTTTCATTATACTTCATTATATTTCATTATATGTCATTATATTTCATTATTTTTCATTATACTTCATTATATTTCATTATATGTCATTATATTTCATTATTTTTCATTATATTTCAGTATATTTCATTATATTTCATTATATTTCATTATATTTCATTATATTTCAGTATTTTTCATTATACTTCATTATCTTTCATATACTTCATTATACTTCATTATCTTTCATTATATTTCATTATATTTCAGTATATTTCATTATATTTCAGTATATTTCATTATATTTCAGTATATTTCATTATATTTCAGTATATTTCACGATATTTCACATATATTTCATTATATTTCATTATTTTTCATTATTTTTCATTATTTGTCATTATATTTCATTATATTTCATTATATTTCAGTATATTTCAGTATATTTCATTATATTTCATTATATTTCATTATATTTCAGTATATTTCATTATATTTCATTATATTTCATTATATTTCAGTATATTTCATTATATTTCATTATATTTCATTATTTTTCATTATACTTCATTATCTTTCATATACTTCATTATACTTCATTATCTTTCATTATATTTCATTATATTTCAGTATATTTCATTATATTTCAGTATATTTCATTATATTTCATTATATTTCATTATGTTTCATTATATTTCATTATTTTTCATTATATTTCATTATACTTCATTATATTTCATTATATGTCATTATATTTCATTATTTTTCATTATACTTCATTATATTTCATTATATTTCATTATATTTCATTATATTTCATTATATTTCATTATATTTCATTATTTTTCATTATACTTCATTATCTTTCATATACTTCATTATACTTCATTATCTTTCATTATATTTCATTATATTTCAGTATATTTCATTATATTTCAGTATATTTCATTATATTTCATTATATTTCATTATTTTTCATTATACTTCATTATCTTTCATATACTTCATTATACTTCATTATCTTTCATTATATTTCATTATATTTCAGTATATTTCATTATATTTCAGTATATTTCATTATATTTCATTATATTTCATTATATTTCATTATATTTCATTATATTTCAGTATATTTCAGTATATTTCACTATATTTCATTATATTTCACTATATTTCATTATATTTCATTATATTTCATTATATTTCAGTATATTTCATTATATTTCAGTATATTTCATTATATTTCATTATATGTCATTTTATTTCACATATTTCAGTATATTTCATTATGTTTCATTATATTTCATTATGAAGGATCCATCCAGGTTTGATCGATGTTAAAACTTCGATTGCGATTTTCTTTGGTATTGTTTCTGGACTGGTCATTAGTGCAATTTTAAATCCAGTTAAATGATGTTAAAGGCAAATGCATTGACATATTAGTGTCTTGGACGTAGCATGCATGGCCCCGGTGCAGCCCCAGGCTTTGGACGAGTTCCCGGAGACCGGACATTTGATGTTTTTTCGTCGGGTCCCAAACTTGAAGGCCAGCGTGCAGCTGCGCGATCCGGTGGATCTCACGCTGAAGAGTCAGTGGTGTCTTGGTCGCAGATCGTGTGGACAGATGGGGGTCCTCGCATTAATTTTCATATATTCATTCTACATTCATTCTACATTCTACATTCATTCTACATTCATATATTTCATTACATTCTTATATGTGTCATGTGATGTTATATGTAATTAGATATACAATTTAGGCGGTCCAAAGGATATGTTTTACTCATGAAAGTTTCACTTTGTCGCAGCGGCAAAGACGTGTATTTTTCCTGGCGACAATGTGTTACCATGTTTCGCCGATGTTCTTTCTGATGTAGCCATACCAAGCAACATCAAACCGGTTGTCATCGGTTCAAACCGGTTGTCATCGGTTGTCTCCCAAAGTGGTAATGGTTTCAGAGCGACCCGGACGATTTGACGTTGGGCAGTGAGGGTGTCAACAACAAATCAGCTAAACCAAGGTGTTTCCAGTGACACAGGGTGTTTCTTCTCCAAAGTTTTCTTTGTGGATGAAGACCTGGTCCCTTCTTTGGTAGCTAAAATGTCACTTGAAACTGGACGCTTAGAGAAACAGCAAGGAACTGTGTTGATCACTCATGGGTTTACCATGCACGCAGATCCTGGGGCACAAAGGCCGAATTATCCCAAAAAAGTCTCATGCAGGGAGGCCAAGCTGGATATGTCATTGTCATTCCATGACACCAGGCATCTACCACCTGATCTCCCAGCCGTCCAAGCTGCCTGTGCCTACGATTCCATGTCCATTTTGGTGTTGCTGAACTCCAGCGCAGATCCGGATCTTCCGCGAAGTGTGCAGAGATTGCACTTTGGAACCAAATGATGCAGCTGCACGTACTTGTAGCATCTTGTAGCTGCAAAAAGCTGCAGTCTTCTCTTCAATTGCATCCATGGATAAGAATGGCGAAGATGCAGCAACTTACTGGGGAAATTGGAGGGCAAAAATACGACCGGCATTCAATTTTTCTACGACGCCTCCAATACTCTGGGCAAGAAATCAGTATTTTTTTGTGACAGGGCCCACATGATGCAGTTGGAGAAAATTGTGCATAGCGAGATCTATCGAGTTTGTAGCAGGTTTCACCATAGAGGTTTGCTCGATCCGTTTTCAAGGAAAATGCATTGGAGCCTGTATGCAGGTGTCACTTTTAAACTGTCAAACATGCTTTGAAGTTGATAGTGGCGTTCCGCAAAGGCCTGCGAACTTTTCGTGCTTCTGGTGACTATCAGCACACACAGAAGTCAGCTAGTCATCATCGGCAACACACTACCAGATGGTTCGGCATGGTTCGACAATTCCCAGCTAGGCGGATCAACAAGAAGCTGCCAGTGCGGACCCCGGTGCAACAGAGGGCAGGGTGCCAATGGGTGCCATGTAGACGCCAGGATCATCCATGGGTCTGGAGAGAATGCACGGACTGCGCAAAACATGTTCCGGACTTATGCACAGTTGCACATCTACAATGAGATTATGACAAGGAAAAACGTCATTCAGTCATATTCAGTCGAATCAAACATGATATATATATATATATATATATTTGCACATATACGCACATTTGTGCACATGTCATCACATAACCATACATATCATAATCCATACATATCCATAATTTGTATATATCATAATATCACAACATAATCATAGATAATCATAGAAATTCATAGAATATATATATATATTATATATATTATATATATATATGTTATACAAGTTACAATTTACACAACCATGATCATCCCGGCCAATGAGATCACAGCACCAGGACTGCGACTGGAGGAGGTTCGGCCGTGCAAAGTCAGTGCGTTCACCGTGAAGCCACCGTGGGAACGAGGGCAACTGGATGCATCTCGACACATCTCGACACTTATGATATGATATGTTGTGATCATGGGTAAGAGTTAACTATGTAATGTAATGTAAGTTGGGTATTTATAGTCCTTATATGTCTTGGCAATCCACTTAGATTGCCCTGGTGCGCAATGGCTCTCAAGCTCTCTATCCAAGATGAGCTTCTGCGGCACCCTTCTGACGTTTTTGCCAGGAGCAAAAACGTGAGCAAGAACTACAACGTGTACAGAAGGCAAGGTTTGGAGCAAACCAAGCAGAGACAGTGGGCCAAGTGGCAAAGGATATTCAGCATGATGCGTTTTCTGAGAGAGAGAGAGAGAGAGAGCCTGCAGTCCAGCCCTAAAGGGTAATATGCAAACCAGTGGCATGATTGGCATGTGCTGCTATGGTGTGGTACGGTATGAATTTCGATCAAAACTCCAGGCTCTTCAGGAAGAGTGCTAGGGGACCCAGGCCTCTCAAGATACCTGTTTTGAATGCCATGATGCCATGTGTCCTCTGATAATGTTATGGTCTCTATAACCTTTCTATGCCTTTCTATGCCTGGATGGAAGGCTTGAAAGTAGATCACCCCCCATACGGCCCCATACGGCTTTATTTGCCGTATGGCATAGTGGCCAAGCGGCTTCCAACCGCTTTACGCAGCCGGCCAGCCCGGCCAGCCCTTCACGCTGAGTGCTGAGGTGAGGAACTACAGCGGCAACGTTGGTGGACCCAGAAGATAGATGAAAAATGATGAAAAAAATGATGAAAATAGATGTGGCAAGAACTGAGATGATATGGCCTATGCACCTCATTGCACCTCCGCATTGCCTTGAATCAACGGGCACATGCTTCTTTGTGTGTGCATGTGTGCCGTTCAATGCATCAAGATGAAATGGGCCCACAACTCCAAACACCGGACACTAGGCGCAAGAGATGGCATCTATCTAGCAGCTACTGTAAGTATAGTAATGTATAGTAGTACAGCCTAGCTAAGTAGTACTTGAGTCCTCAAGGGATAGCTCAGTGAGGCTTACAGTAGTGCTTGGCACATCTTGGCCTCTCCCGAAACACCAAGGTGCCGAACAGCAAGAAGCACAACAAAAGGCCCAAGAAGAGCATCAAACTCGGGTTTGAAGCTGAGTTACCGCTGCGGGAGTGGCAGTGTGTAGCTGGAACCGCTCAGAAATTCAGTCTAAGATTCAGTGCAAATGGGCTAGTTCTTAGATGCTCTTAGTTGGTGTATGTTGGTATGCCATGTGCTATTTCAAATTTGGATTGTTTTCCAGGGTTTTCTGAATGATGGCGAAAAAGATCACAAGAGTGTCACTTTGCTTTCACAAGAAACATTGACAGTATATTCGAGGTGGACCCCTTGAGTGTCGTTGCATTCCATGCGTCAGGCAAAGGATTTAGAGGAGCAGCAGGCACATGGAAGCTGCACCCGCATTCTCCCACATGAATTTACATCAGCTGATATCAGCCGACCAAATTGTATCGTTCGTATGTTTTGGGCAGGAAATGGCACTGATGACTGAAGAAAGAAACTTACATAAATTTACATTGCCAAGATTTTGACAGCGCAGGCACAATTGGAAGCCCAACGCCATGAGGTTGAGACTTGTCGCGCTCGTGGCGAGGCATGGGGAGGACTGCCAGTTGGACAAACTGAACCGATCTGTGTGGGCCCTGCCAGGCGGAACGTCAGACGAAGTTGGAGGAACTGAAAGAGCATGAAGAAGAGCTTCAGAGGCCACAGCCAAGAGTTCATCATGGCATAGTGAATGGGCTCATCGTGGTTCATTTATGATTACTACACATGATATTACATGATTCATCATTATTCAATCAATACGAATCATGAGTCGAGAGATCAATTTTACTCAACATATCTACTTGCAAGATATTGCAAGAACATGCATATAATTTCTAGGAGACATAACAAACACACACAGATATGTATATATATACATAGTATGCAGATCATTATGTGTGTTTGGATGCATTCATGATGCCGTACGTGTTTCTAAGTGGTGTTTTCGTCATACTGGCAAGCATCACCCATTTTGGCAAGAGAAAGGAGAAACCCGCTTTCAGATCAGAGCTTTTTGTACCTCATTCCGATATTGGATAATATTGGCAAGTCTACTGTTCCAGTTTGATCATGTTTGATCCAGGTGAATGGCATCTTATTGAAGTCCGAACTGGTCATGTCACATTGATCAATGCCGTGTCAATGCCCCGAAAGGGAGCTCGTTCTACCTCCTTTTTCTTGCCCACAAGGCATCGTGAGCAGCTGCAGCAGCAAAAACTTGAAGATGAGGCGGTGCCGGGATGTTATCTGGGGCAAGCCTCAACGGCATACTACAACTTCCCGTTGCCTGTTCGATACCTCCATTGTGCAACAGGGCAACAGGGGTCCATACGTGTGTTGTTTTGGTGCACATGCATTTTCTCCGGAGGGGCGCATCAAGACAGTTTACTATGTTTGTTCCATGCATGATACACAAGGATAGCAAGGTTGACTCGAGGAAGAGCATGTGGCACCTTCCACCTCCTTCGTCAAACATGGTTCATCACACCCGTCGTCTTCAGCCAGACAGCTTTGCGCAGGAACTGCGGAAGGCACAGGCTGAGACGTGGCCTCGGCAACATTCGGCAGCATTGTGTGGGGTTGGTCAATGTTGACAAACATAGCAGATACTGTAGCTGTAGGCCCTGTAGGCCAGACATATCAGACCATGCCTGAACTGAGCATATCCCCCAAGAAAAGTTGATTGCAGAAAGATTTCCGATTGCAGAGTGTACGCCAAATTCCGATATGTCAGCAATATGTCAGCAATATTAGTGCCAAAATTCAAAAAATCCAGAACACATTATAACATTTATAATGCAATATAACGCATTTAGATTATTTTAGATTTAGAGATTTTTGAAATAAGTGCTAAATTTTAGCTGCTAAATAGCAAAAAGAAACAACGGCAGACCGCTGCCGCGCTGCCGCCAGGTTTCAGCTCTTGGATCAGGAACTCCAGGACCGTGCGCAGGACATCAGCTGTTCCGAACAGGTGGGCTCCCCAGGGTCAGCATGGGATCCTCTACGCCCCATGAATGATATCGATCATTCATATCAATCATACTCAGTTTGTATGCAACATACATTCTCATTCATTATTCATTATAGTTATATATTCTATATTAATTATTCATATATTATTCATATATTATTCATATATCATTTGTATATATTGTTCATATTATTCTATGATATGATGCGAATCATGATGCATAGAGTCCTCATAGAGTCCTCATAGAGTCCTCATTGAGTCCTCATTGTCATCCCGGCCAGTGGCCAGGCCTTGGTGTCAGAGCGGCAGCAGATCTTGCGCTCGCGCGGGCAGCTGGCCATGGTGCGCCATGGGACACAGAAACCAACGCGGAACGCGGTTCCACAACGAAAATGGGAGAAATGTATAGAAATGAGAGACTTGATGTATCTTGATCTTAGTGTGTGTAATGATGTGTGATGTATTATGTATTCAATCAAATTTGATGTCATGATTTCCTTGTGCTTTACGCCAGAAACGAGAGAGAGAGAGAGAGATCTTGCGGCAGTGCGGGGTACTCGTATCATCAGCTTCCAATAATGTCCGATTTCATTTGTTCAGGGAATGTTTTGCAAGTTGATTGCGGCCACGAGTGGTACCCCTTTTAATGGCTGTATAACATAGGATGCCTGTTATGTCGGCAGGTGCAAGCTCATGTGGTGTCACTGCTTGGCAAGGCGAGCTGTTTGTGCATCCACTTCTATTGGATGGGACCGCCCTTGCCCCAGGGCCCCCAGGTATTACTTGTAGGCGGTAACTTTGGTAAGAATTGGCAAGACGGATTCGATACGAACATCGTCTTATCAGCTTTGGTTGTTTCACTGCTTCAGCCCACTATTGAAGAACTTCGGTTCTGCTCGCTAATTGCAAGCAGCTGTTGAGCACAGGGGGTTGCAACAACAAGCTTATGAGATCTTATGAGGACAAGCATGGAGAGCCTGGGAAACCAGCTTCCCACATCTTGGCAGACGAGCCGGAGGCAAGAGACTACGCTCAGCATGTCCATGGCACGTCCCCCAACAAAAAGTCGCTTTCTTAAGATTCAAAGGGTCTACCGGTCAGCACCGGTACTTTGCCACAAAATTGGCAGCAAGGTTCGGAAGTAGAAGTTGGAATCTTATTGGTCAGCCTCGATATGCCTCGATACATCTCGATACATCCAGCTCATCTCTTGGATGTGCCCTTTGCAGCAGGTGATGTGACAGGCTTTAGCGCTTTAGCATGCTTTAGCTTCCCTGATTGCATTTGAGATTGTGTTGCAGGCGGAGTTGGACGCCCCTGAGGGTGAGGAGATGTGGAACATGGTTCGGTCCTCTGTCTGCCGCACTGGCCATAGCTTGCGCTCGCTTGGTTCCATTCACATGCCATCGGCCCGAAGTGCCGAAAAAGATGCTCCATATCAGAAACTGATATGTTGTAGATTGTTGTAGCAAGCTGGCCGATTGACTGCTTTTCATTTTGCGGTCACTCAGTGGATGCAAATCCATCAACATTGTGTAGTGAATCTCGGTCGCTCCCAGGACTGGTCTGCAGTCACAGCTTCGCAGACACAACAAGAGGTGGCCGCGGTTCACATGGTTCACTGATTCATATTGCCATGTTCGTATCTCGTGAGCTCATTGGATGGATCATCCTCTCATTTTGCAAGCCGGTCTGCGTTTCTCACAGCCGGAAGGGGTGCGTAATACACACAAAGAGCCAAAACAGTTGCCCAGAACAGCCGCCTTCACTGGGTTTGAGGCGGATGTTCGCTTGGCTCGTGGGACACTTCCATCAAAAAGCATGAGTTTGCCCAGGTATGCAATCTCTCCAACCTGTTACCTCTTTTCCAACAGGCACAGGTGGCTTAAGATCCGTTTCCACGCTAGCCTGGAACTTGCAGAACAATTGCAGGTCAGGGGTTGTGCTGGTGGATTCCAGATGTGGGAGACTTTGGACGTGTGGCATTCAGAACTTTCCATGACCCCACAACTACCCACAACAAACAAACAACAATAGGATAGGCATACATAATTGGGAGGAGGTGTTTTTGGACAATGTTTATCCAGAGGTCACATTCTTGCAACGTTTCGACGGCACTTCAAAGGTCTTGTGCCACCCTGAGTATGCAACGGCCTTTTTAGAGCAGTATTGTAAAAATGGGTCTGTCCAAACACGTTGTCATCATTTTCAGCATTAAAATTGACGTTGTGGATGGTTTTTGGGTGCTTTTGGGTGCTGCATGCCCAATTCTGGACACATGGGGCTTGCTTCAAGTCACAAGTCCTATCGAACTCCTGTCCTCGACTCCCCCCTAGAGCGCCAGGCAACAAGGTTGGTGAGGACATTTCGGGCCTGTACAGGTTGTAACTTTCCAAGAGGATTGGAAAAGCTGGAAAATCTGGCCTCAGTGACCTGCAATTTGTTTTGTCATCTGCTTTCAGCGGTTTGTAGTGCAGAGATGTGCAGAGAAACTACGATTCGGAAAGATGTTCTGGCCCTCATTCACAGAAAGCGTTATAATTGTGGTTAATTTGCAATTGGATTGCCCTCTTCAAATTTCGCAATCTTTCGCATACCTTCAGCTCTGAGAGCACCAACATACCTTTCTCCAGTAACATCCGATATCTCTTGGCAGCCTGGCGAAGTTTGCCTGCAGCTCCGGCATGCTCCGGCCCATGGGACCGGACGGGACCAAGTTGGTTGGGGTCATATGGGCCATGGATGGCCATGGGCAATTTTAATTTTAGCATGCTGCAGGCCCCAATCTCAGAGCATGCAGCTAGTGACGGCAGGCAAATGCAAAATCATGCAACATCAAACAGATTGAGATTGAACATACCGAATCGAACAACAAATGTGTTGATTTATAATGATTTATATATTTGGCAGGACGAGATGATGTCACAAGTCTTTTTGATTAATCTTTTTGTTGTGGTGTTGTTGGCTTAATTCGGCCCAAGCATTTGTTTGCCGTGTCGCCAAGCCCCGGTGGCTACAAATTCGAGACCGGTAAGGGGGGACAGAAGGGAACAGCGAAGGCCTAGCTGCAGCACTCCGCCGGATTGGGAGAGGAAAAGGTATTGAGACTGCGAAGGGGCTGAGAACAAGTTGGACAGATGCCACATTCCATTTAGTAATATTATATATATATATTATATTATATAATATATAATAATAAGTTACATAATCATATATATATATATACAGTATATATAATTTAATTGATTCTGATTCTACTTTGCTTGTGTGTGTGTGTTTGTCAATGTGGGCATTTGGAGGTAAAAGTGCCTGGGTTCTACAGGTTGGTCGGTCTTGTGCCTTTTGCATCCTTTTGCCACTTTGCTGCTTGTCCGTTGCTTTTCTTTGTACACTTCCCCTTGAGACATGCGATGATGCAAACATTCTGGGTTCATGTGCCAAAATACTTCAACTCCTTTTTGGTGATGCCACAAAGGCATTTCATCCACAAGACTAGGATTCCATTTCAAAAATGCGAGGAAGGGCAACTGTGGAGAGATTAGAGTCCACTCCATTCTTCAAAAATGGTTGCTCCCTCGGCTTTCCTGAGCTTGCTGATCGCCAGCAAAACGTCGCTTGCGCTGGCCCAGAAAACGTGGCCCTCATCTTTGGAATTCCTGGCAAAGGGAAGTGATGAGGAATACAAAGACTTCGTGACACCCCTCGCGCAGATGACCAAGTGCCGGGGTATGAGACATGGTGAATCATGGGGCCAAACAGCAGAGCAAGGGCTGCGAAGTTTGCAGACCCCAGATGACCACAGTTTTCGAATGTTTTCGTGTTCATCATTTTTCATGGTTTTGGTGCATGCAGGTCTGAAATTGAAACAGTGAATAGCGACAATGCCGGCAGCTCCTAAACAAGTTGCGAGTTTGGCCAACCTGAGTTTTCCTTGCCCCCCGAATCTGCTTAGATCCACCCATTGCCGCAACAAGGCTGACCTACACAGCGACCTGGGGTTCATACTACCGCGAGAAGGACGAAAACGAGACTATCGCAGGTTGGCTGCGAGGCAAGCTGCAGTCAAACCCTTTAGTGGGGATGAGAGCGCTCACCTTTTTTGAGCCACCCAGCATGCAAGAGAGTTCAAGTGCGTAAATTGATTCCAATCATTTGAAGCTATCACAATGATCCAAACGAGAGATCTTACGACTCACAGGCTGTTGTTCCTGGACGTATGGAGCTTAGGTGGAATACGAACCGTGGCGTGATGGCCTTCCGTGGTACTGATCTCAACTCTTCCAACCCAAGTGGTCAAGTAGACGCTTGCGCCAATGCCTTCTTGACCTTCGGCTTTGAAACCTGAAGCAAAGCTTTTTGGTTGAACCAACTTGGGCTCATCTCTTTTGTACCAGCTGTTCAGTAGGCATTGTGCTGAAGAATCTGCCGCGCCCGGAGTACGCATTTGTGTTAGATATGCGGGTAGATTATTGGATGTGATCATTGATGAACATGCAGACGGGTGAATAGCAAGCCACATCCCTTACGCTTGCTATCGCTTGCTTATTAATCTGACTATAATCTTGTTATATCTTTTTATATGCTCCGTATACGCCCAACCGGGCCCAACCCAATGTGCTGCTCCCTCAGGAGCTTATGTGAAAGTCACAGCGGTCAACTGCCCGCTGAGTGCCAGAATTTCACCGTCCACCAGCCGCCCGCTCATCTCTGTGGACTATTTGGGGCCGGTTGGAGGATTTTTCCTGGTGGATAATTGTTGCACTATTTTTTGTTTTATGCAGACTCACCACACGTACCAACAAATAAGTCCTCAGTTCAATCATATTCAGGGGTTTATACCTCCAATATGCTCCAATCAACCCGCTGGCTTGTTAAACCAATCCCGTTGGATGTACTTTGAGAGGCACTCTTAGATTTCCATGAGTACACGTGAGTACCCACCCAGTTCTATTTTTGATTCGAAGGTTTGCAGGTGTAATGTACCATTTCTTCGACGTGTTAAGGAAAAGCTCTACTTATACGTACGGTTTGAAGAACTATGCCATCAAAGTCCCGCGCGGGGTGGCCATAGTGCCCTACTTTTTGCCAAGGTAAGTCTATAGTTGTTTGATGTTGTTTGATGTTGTTTGTATCTTTTTCGGTTGATTGTTTGGCATTCCAAGGCTGGACTACCTCTCGCGAGCATTGGAGTTTGCGCAAACGGCTGCTGTACCTCGCTCGCCTGCGTAGGAACCCATGGGACCCAAGGTTATTGATGGAACAAATCTATTCGAGTCCTATCAGATCTATGAATCAAACATCAAACTGCTTTCAATTTTAGAAGTGCAGATCTACTCAATGTGATGCAAACCTGTATGAGATGGGGAAAGTCGTTTTGATTCTGGGATTGATAGCTTCAGGGTGTGCAGGTCTTTGTTCACGTACTAGTGTGCTGCAACAGCAGACTTGGTGATGATGTTCGATTTTGCCAGAGGATACATGTGCGTGGAAGGAAAGTTATCCACAGATTGGCTGTTTCGCACGGTTACCTTTTTTCCATGGCTGTTCCGCTACTGTTACGAATTGGTAAGCCATGCTGCTGCCACCATATGACGCTAGACAAGCAGCTGTAGGGATACTGCATGTCCATATCCTCACAGCAACATACGCACTTTTTGTAGTCTATAGCATATATATATATTTAATATATATATATAGAGCAATATTGGCACTTCATACTTTATTTTTACCCTTGCGCCATTGTATGCCTGTGTGCATGCTTGTGCTGATTGAGGCATTGCAGATTTGATCAATATGATTTTATAAATTTCTACATGAATCTTGTTCCCCCAGTACTCTCCAATTCTACGTATTACGTAATTCTATGATATTCTATGTATATTTCCCAAGTTCTTTCCATGATCACCAAAATCTAGCTGACCCATTTCCAACATTTTCCAACGGTTCCCACTGAGGAAGCCCATCCGAACACCCAGTGGCTCTACACGGGGCACTCCCTGGGCGCCCTGTTGGCGGAGCTGGTGGCGGCGCAGCGCTCGGGCGCTCCAGCCCTGACCTTCAGCGCTCCGCCGTTGACGCCACTGCTGAAGCGCCTCAAACAGCCGGAGCTAAGGCACTGGGGCACCGTGACGCTCTATGACACTTGGCACATGTTAGATTTGTTTGAAATTTGTTTGAATATAACATAATATAACTAACTCAATTTTGGGTTGTTTATTGTGTTTTGATTTTAGTAAAATTGGTCCTGTTGTAGCTACATGATGCTACACGGAACCTGGCCAAAAGATGGAGTAAGACGGGTCGGAACTGCCAAGGAGTCTGCAAGGTTTCCAAAATTGGAACAAAAATTGATGATAAATTATCTGATAAACATTGATAAACCATGGTAAGCCTACCACATTTTTGAGCCCGCATGTCATCCGTTGCTGCTGTGGTGGCCTCCTGGACGATTTGAACGCAGTTTCGATGGCCTTAAATGGCTAGAAGCCATGATCATTCTATGATTATTACTGTATACATTTTTAAAATACATTTTAATACATGTTATCATGTTCTTATCATTTTTTGTGGAATTCAAAGGTCATACTTTGGGATCATGTGGGATCCAGTTCATCATTTGGTTGCAGAAATTTGTCCCCTCACATCGATGGTTCGGAAACAAGAGGCACGAGGAGGCGCAGAACATGTGGTCTGTTGATGACATTTGATTCACATGATTGGCCAATAGTTTAACCGTTTAACCTATATGATATAAACATATATAAACACCATATGAATATGTTTCACGCTTGATATATTAACTACAAGGATGCCCATGTATAACTCATGGCTGGAAAAAGTCCGTCGGGGACTATGAAAGAAACAGAGGTGTCGTTCTAACCGGCAGGCCGATTGAACTTCCAGTGTCCAGAATGCTTTTGAAAATGCATTGTTGTTGTAGACCATATAACATCGACACACACACACACGCACATGATGCACATGTATATATCTATCTATATATATAAATATAAATATACACTGGGCGTCAATGTTGAAGTTTACCTCCTACGCGGACAATGTTACAATGTTGATGTTTGGGTTGGTGAAACATCGACATTCCCAATGTTGATGTTTAACCCCTGTGAAGAAATCTACGGACCTTGGAAGCGCAATGAAGTGCAAAATCATCATACATGTATTTGTCACCCCAATTTCCCAGCGTGTAGGGGCCCTTGGAACTGAATTTGAAACCTACAAGATCCTACAGGTATTGAATTTCCGGACAGGAAACAAATCAAGGAACCCTAATATACTGTCAGGGTTCACGGGCAAAACATGGGACCTTAAACGGTTTGGAAATATGCCACTGCCAGAAGCTCATGCCACAGATTAATGTCCAAAGAAATCGGGAACTCGGTGTGGCCACTGAAGGACCAGACAAACCCCCAAAAATCTTTAGCGTGAAATAGCGTGAAGTACCCGTGAAGTTTGCGTGACATGCGGTGTTTACCCGGTTTACCCGTGAAATGCGATGTTTACCCGAGAAAAAGAGCCACCCCTAGAATATAATGTGTTTTTGTGTTTTTCTTGTTTTTTTTAACCAGTCTGGTCATCCGGATGCCAACCGCATCCAAGTTGCTTGTCAAGAACGCCTGTCCCATGGTGTCTTTTGTTTCCAAGATTGAGTTTGGGGGCATCTAGGGCAAAACACCTGCTCTCATGCAAACATATATGTATCGTTGAGTGAAAACAAAACAAAATCCTATGGGAGATTCTGTGTCAAATGTGATTAAAAGTGATATCGCATGAGTTTGACTAATAAAGCACGTCCAAGATAAAGGATCCGGCTAGAAAAGGTTGATAAATTTGCTGCACATCATGTCTCGAGGGTAAACATCGACATTGATGAGTAAACATCGACATTACACAAATGCGTAGGTAAACTTCGACATTAGTGAAATGCGTAGGTAAACATCAACATTGGACTCTCAGGGTATATAATTATATGTATACATACAATCGTATTCATCTGTAAGTGCATGCGCTTGCAATGCGCCATTGCAAGACTTCCATGTTTTCGTTTGCAATTTGGGGCCTGCAAGGATCAATACGACCCCTTGCGGTTTCAAGCGGTGGGCCAACTGTGGAGTGCGAACTGCACCTGGGCTCGCGCAGAAGCTCCGGAAGGCTGCAAGGCTTGTGAGGCTGCACCCATCGATATGCATTCAGAGGCTTGTCAGAAGTGCCTGAGCCGAAACAAGATCTTTGGATACCTTTGGGCCATTTGGATCCATTGGGAGTACTATTAGGTCTATCAGTTTGAGTTGAGTATGCTAGTTTTTCTTGTGACTATATAATCATTTTATTGTGTGATTTGAGAAGTGCAACCTAATTCCAAATATACATATATATATAGATATATATATAGCATATAATCATATAGTTCCATGATTGAACATGAAGCTGATTTAGATTTCACTCAAGAGTTTGGCCCAGGTGCTTCTTTGCCGCTCACACATTCAAAACCTATCTGAAGAACGTGTCCCTTGGAGACATTCCCTGTGTCACTGCTTGCAGTGCCACGAGCTTGTATGTTTGTTTTGGGTACTGGTACTGAGGAGTTGATTTTAACTTGATTTGGGTTTATGGTGCATCAACTGAGATTGATTTTTTTTTTGAGTGAGTGTGTGTTTCTTTGGAATTTTCGGACGTGAAAGGTAGCATCATTAGGAAGATAACGCCAGTCCCTACAGTGGCCTCCACTGCAATGACATGCGATTTTCTACACAAGTGCCGCGTGGGCAAATTTTTGTGGGTGCTTTTGGAGCAGCGGCTAAGTTTGTGATAGCTGAAGTCATTTGAAGTCTCTCCATCCGCAGCTTGTCCGAGCAGGTATTCTCAAAGACGTCCAGATTGCCCTGACTCCACTAATACCGTCATCGTTTGAGCTGGAGCTGCTCAGTCAGCGTCATCTTTTGCTTACAACATGAGGCCAGCAAAAATACAAAGAACTTTTGCGCGAATGCCTCTGAACGATTGCCAGTCAACTGCAAGTTTGTCGTAAGTTGAATTTTGCAGTCTGCACAGATGCCAAGACGGGGCAAGACTCCAGGCCCGTGATCTCAAGTATGATTTAACCAATAGCAGAGTGCATATGATGGTACAATTGGATACACTTGGTACAATATTGATTGTACATGAGTATATGTATGCTTTGATTTAGTCCAAGGTCAGTCACATTGGTCAGACCGGTGGGCATCAAGTTTCCCATAGTTTCCCATAGATTCCCCGTGCCTCTTCCGCTTCGTTGGAATCTCAAAGATGCCTTCGTTTGCCATGGATGTGTTGCAGGTTTACTGCTCGGAGATAGGCACAAACAATGCAAGAAAGAGCTCTGAGTTTTGAGTTTTAGCCCCAAAGACGAAACCGAAGCCTGCATGTGTGCTTACTAGGACTTGCTTCATTTGCTTTTGTAGAGTGGAAATCGCACTGCGAGCCAGCCGGCCACATTTTCTGGGGTGTGTAGAGTCGAGACAAGAGAGTACAGAAGAAAACATGGATTACAAAAGAAAACACTTCAGACTTGAAGCTTGCTTCCACCTGCATATAAAGCAGATGTGTACCACAAGACCAGTTGTATCAAGTTAGCATGTCCATTTTTCTTGGCAATGGCACCATCGCTGCAGATGACAACGTGCCTGGGCATTGCACGGGGTGGAAGTCGGGAAATTGACGAAGAAATTATCATGCATGACTGCTTTTTTGTGCGTTCCGAATGCTGGTTCTCTATGGTTCTTTGATTTTGTGGCCTTGCTACCATGGCACAGAGAGCTCCAGATACTCGGTGTTCTCCTGTTGTTGAAGTTTCACAAATAAATACTAGTATGGTATATACACATGATTACACCTGTATATACCGAAAACAGAGGGTATTCCTCTGCATCCGCGCATTCTATGGGAAGCCTCAGCCGCGCATGCTATGGGAAGCCTGCATTATCCTGCATGATCCTGCATGTATCTCGGGTTCAGAAAGTGTCAGTGTGGGGCTTGTGTTGTTGAATAGCAGATCTACCCCGTCAGCGGAGAGACCACTGCTTCATGCATGGTATAGCCGCGTGGCCTCTCTTCAAACTTCAAAGCCAAGAAATTCCCAGGTTGTCTTCACTTCCAATATCTTCAGAGATATGCATTCACTCAAACAGTATTCATAAAACATATACAAAACTGCAAGCACTTGGCTTGAGATTCCACTTGAGATATCTTGAGATGCTGTAGCTGCAAAGAAGGTGACCAGATGTTCATCTCGCAGGATGCGACATGTCGAGTCATGTCAAGTGATGTCGAGTCATGTCTAGTCAGGTGCTGTATGACATTTTGAGCTACCTGGATGTCTCTGATGCATTGCATTTGGCGATCTCTTCGTCTCTGTGCTGCAGACGCCTGGTAGGCCAGGATCAGTGGCAAGGGTCCCCCAAGATGTAGCTGGAACATTGTGAGGCCTGCGAGGCAGCAATTTTCGGAGTTCTTTGGGTGAACCATCGTGAACCATGGTGAACCCTGGTGAACCATGGTGCCAGTCAGAAACCTCCTCATTTTAAAATGAATTATGCAATTATTATCTTATGAATTCTTATGGTCTTATGGCCATTAATTCTCTTTTGCGTGATTGAAGCTGTCGGTCACTTCATTGTGAAATCAGGAACCCGTCCTAAAGTATCCAAATTCCCCAACTGAATTCACAGGATTCGCCCAAAAAGGTAGGTACCGACAGCCGTAGTGCGGTAGCCGTTTTTCCCCAAACAATTGCCGAGCGTCACCGGTGCAAACTCAGCTGTTGGAGCCATGGCAATGGCAATGGAGTCTCGGCAGGCTGAGTGCTGCTCTGAGAAGGTAATTCCCAATGCGATGTAAACTTAACGGGAGTAAGTACTGGATGATACTGGATGATTGGTTGCCATATGTTGCCATATTGTTATACAATAGGGTAAACATCACATGATAAAACATGATAAAACACCTTTGCCAAACCTCGAACTTGTGCTGAAATTCCAGACATGAAGACATGAAGCACCTCAATTACTTGGACAAGAAGATGCAATAGCTTAGTAAGGCTAAGAAGGCGTAGCATCATTGGAATAAGTTGCCCTTTATCCCATATCAATCATATAAATCATATTTTAATCATATATAATCGGATTATAATCACATATAATCACATATAAGAAATTATAAGAATATAATATAATATAATATAATCATATTATTATCCCTGATTAATCACATTATATCAATTATAATATATATATATATATATCCTTTTGCCCTTATAGACACCAAGGAGCTTCCCACTCGGCCAAACCTGGAAGTGTCTCGCCCCATGCAGGTGCCGGGGGTATGATGGTCCGTAGATTTTTTGCAACCCCAAAATCAAAAAGTAGGACACCTGGAAATATATGGCAAATATGTGCAAATATCATGTGTACCACCCTGGAAACACTGTTCCATCTTTTTTTGGTCTATTACAATCATCATCAATCATCTATGTAATCCATCTTAGTTCATATATGGAAATTTGTGGTTTCTGTGGAAAGGAATGAACGATAGAACATGATAGAACATGATAGAACCTGTATCCAATACCAGCGCTACTGGGAGCTCCTAGATGAACTTCCCGAATTTCGGAGGCACATGGCGCCGCCAAAGCGACCAGTAGCCCGATGGTCTCAACATCCAGGAGCTCGATGGCCCCCATAGCAGAGTGGTTGAGCATAGTTGAACTCTGCTAAGTCAATTGGCAACTTTTGAGATCAAGACCTGTCAGCAGTTCCATTCCTTAATCTGCAACTAAACAATCTGGCAACATGACCATCTTTGCAAAAAAAAACATGCATCCCTAGGTGATAATCTGGTTGGGTTCCATCCATTCTACAGCGAGTCCTGTTCCAGTCAACTGGGACTTCCAATTTTGTGCCGGGCATAGCTTCAGGATTTCCGCCGTGCTGGCTGTGGCTGGCTTGGCACGCTGCGGTGTGCAGCGACGTGCCACAGCTGTGAAGAAGAAGGGTGTTCGCGTGGTGGAGGGAAAGGACGAGAATGGGTTGAGCAGATTCTAGCAGGTCATGCGGAGTTTTCATGTTGTTTCTTGAGCTGAGAATCGAGAATTTACACCTTGCGCAATTTAAGACTGCGCTAGATTTATTTTAATTCAATAGTCAGCATTGATCGCTGGTCTAACAGGCCAGCTAGTGAACACGGATGGCCATTGACATGCCCAATTCCTGGCTTCGACCAAGTGATCACGGAAGTAGTTGTGCAGGAGATCCCGTGGAACCTCTTCAGCCCGAAGGCTCCGTACCAGGGCAGCTGCATCAGCAAGGAGACCATCACCAGCAAGACGCCACTGGTGAACTGGGAAACCTGCCACGTGATCATGGACCACGGTGGTAAGGTGCCATACATCGAGGGCCAATCCATTGGAATCATCGCCCCTGGTCCTGACAAGAAGGGCGAGACTCCTGCGAAGATTCGTTTGTACTCCATTGCATCCTCAGCACCGGGGGATGACGAGACCAGCAAGACTGTGTCTTTGGTGGTGAAACGAGTTCTTGAGGTCTCGGGCAAGGGCTGGTGCGAATACTCCAATGTGCCCAAGGGTAAGGACCCTGAATTCCCAGATGCCGAGAAAGTCTACCGTGGCGTGTGCTCGAGTCACGTTTGTGACTTGAATGCTGGAGATGATGTGATGATCACCGGCCCCACCGGTGCTGAAATGCTACTGCCAGAGGACCCTGAGGCCAACATGATTTTCATGGCCACAGGCACCGGCATTGCTCCATTCCGCTCTCACTTGCGCTATCTCTTCCATGACAAGGCCACCAAGGGCAAGTTCAAGGGCGTGGCGTGGATGTTCCTCGGTGTGCCTTACTCAGAGTCCTTGCTCTACGACGAGGAGTGGAAGGAGATGCAGGCTGAGTTCCCCGACCAGTTCCGATACGACTACGCCATCTCCGGAGAGGAGAAGAGCGAGAAAAACAAGATCAACGGCCACTTGGATTTTGCTGCACTTGCACTATCTTTATGACGTTTGCACTATCTTACGCTCTTCTAGCTACACTAGATCGACATAGCTGTTCAATCCGTTGACCATATCATGGTGTTTTAATATGTTTTTAACATGTTTTATCTTTCAAGGTGAGCCTTAAGCCTGGATCATATCACGGTTATGGTACATACTTTTGCAGTCTTTTACATACCTTTACTTTTTTTAAAAAAAAATATGCTTTGTGATTCTTGTGCAACACATGTTTTTTAATTGCATCGAGTAAGTGTGCGATTTTTTCTCCGTGGATTTGTTGGCACAGCTGCTTTTGGTATCTTTCGGTCACTGATATCTCGCAAAGGTGAGATGTGGGTGCAGCACAAGATGATGCAGTACACCGATGACCTGTGGAAGTTGGTCAAGGAGCTTCCACGAGTCTCCACCTTGCTCAAGTGCCATTCCAAACTTGAAGTGTTCTTGGTTTCTGTTGACATTAGGTCTCCCCGTCATTCTCAGCAACGAGGCTTTACATCATTATGTTCATTTTCCACTGCAATAATATATTATATTAAGATTTCAGGTTGATTATAGATAATTATAGATATATTATAGGTATTTTGAAATCTAATTATCATGTTTCCATCATTTTCCATCCTCATCCTATGACATATCCTCATTAACATTCATTCACCCAGTTGTGGTAACGTCGCTCTGCCTCCGCCAGGATCCCAAGACTCACGTGTACATGTGCGGCCTCAAGGGCATGGAAAGCGGCTTTGCGGAGTGCTTCCAGGATGGAATCGCAAGCTTGGGAACACCACTGGACAAATATATATACATATTAATTATATATATATACATATATATATAACACAATATATATATATATGTATATTATATATATATATCATATATATTCATATATCTGTGTATAGTGCATGTTATACTGATTTATAATGTACTAGAAGGAGCTAAGCATTTTTAGATATGCTTACTCTCCTTTTCATACTATGACTCACCCAGGTAGCGTCGATAGCTACCGAATTGATAATGTTCTTGCCGGAGCCTCTAGCGCTTCCAGACCACAACAGGGTTGCATCCTTCCTAATCAACAACATCATTCACTGTCAAGTAATATATATATATATATACATAATTTATTTTAATTTAATGATAGTAATCAACAACAATATTCCGAATATATTGTTAATTGAGGAGAATGTATCAGAATGTCAAGCAATGACTATAGCAATCCGTTCGAGCACCATATGCCGTTGCCTCGGAGATGCTCTTCCAATTTCAGGAGCGCGTTGAGGCTGAAGGCATGGACTATGCAGAATTCTTGAAGAAGATGAAGAAGGATAAGCGCAACCTGTTTGGATGAAGCAAAGTCTGGGATGATTTTGTAATGTACATGTTTCCTACACTGTTCCATGGCATGGTCTATATATATACACTTACATGTTTTCATCCTTGAAGTAGCCAATTCATTTGTTTACTTGAAGTGGAATCAAGACTGCTCATGGTGCCGTCTCCTGGAATTTGTTCTGCGCCGTGCCCTTGCGTGTTTGAACATCAGGCACCTTTGCAACGGAGCTAAGGATACCACGTGGAGGTGTACTGATTCTATGGCAGTTTCACTTGCCTACCATCACTGAAATTGCTGAACGTCGTACAAGGACAACCCAAGAGAGATACAACAAGATAAACTCTGGTCCAGCACGAAAGCAAGAATTACAAGATTAAGAGCACCATCTAGCACCATCATCACAGTCGCACCGTGTCTTAGCAAGCAGTTGACAGAGACCAAAAGTAATCAAATCATATCAAATCCAAAGCTCGGCAGTGTTTCACCTTGGTGTTTAAGCGCACCCCGCAGTTTTCCTTTAAGGCTTGGCCACGGTTCCAGAGCGGCGCCGAGACCCCAGGGCGACGGCAAGGGCTCTGCCGGTCGCGAAAAAATGGCCAGACGAAGCCAGACTGCGTCACACTTCAGGGTTGCTGTGAAAACGGGGCTGCATGGTGCTGGCATCCTCAAATCCAGTGGTTTGTTAATGTTTGTTACTGTTATTTTGAATCACTTGCCATTCTTTTGTGGCATAGATCAACCCATTGTGGATAACCCCAAAAGACGTTTATGTCTTTGATGGGCCATGTCCTGTCCAATTGTTTGCTGGGCGCAGACCACAGCACAAACTCTTGGACTGTTTGTTTGACTGCCTTGCCTTGATCAATCATGATCACTAATTAAGAATTCTAGAACCGAACAGCTCAGACACTTGAAAGATCCTAACCATTCTGAAGGACTTTCTCACAGGAGTCATGACATCCCGTCCGTCGTGTTTCATTTTGGCTCGACCAGAAGATCAGCAGAGAACAGTAATCCAACTTCAGGAGGGAAAGCCGAGCAGCATGTCCAATAAGACAGATGCTCGGCTGCATAGCAACGCATGGCCTATGCGGGGCCTCGCTGGCAACTCCGCATAGACTAGGCAGGAACTGCTGTGGCAACGCTCATCTTGAGCTGAGCACTGACCACAGAGTGTGACATTTTCATACATTTTCGCCCTCAATAAGTATCCATGGTACCTCTCTATATCTGTCGGATGTGTCAAGGGCGAGTTCAATGTTTGCTGCGATTCGCCTTGCCAGATCCAGATGAATTGAACCAATACTCTGAAAAGTGACTCACATTTGGGATGAAAGTTGTGAAAGTTGAGAATCTAGTTCCTTTGCAGCAGACCCAACACCGTTCTCCATGGTATCCACGATATCAATGATATCCATCTTCCATTCATGATCCATCCATGATCTACTTGCTATACTTTGCTCATCTTTGCTCATGCTCCTGCAGTTTTCCGGCGTTTTCCCGCTTGGTCTTGAGGACAGCAGTGTGAAGATGGTGGTTGCAGGTGCGGCAGCTGCCATCGCAGCAGGCTCTGTGTCCCAGGCTCGGACTGGGCATAGCTTGGGCATTATCACAAGAAAACAAACTACAAGATGATGGACGACATTTGGCAACACTTCGCAACATCAATTCTAGAAATTCAAGGACACACTTGATGCATCTTGATGCACGTCTCATTGTCATCAATTCGTTTGTTCCCTTTTCGAGCAGGCCTTTGTTGCGTCGCCTGCTCCGCGAGCGGCCCCAATCCAAGCAGAGGCACTTCTGCAATCGAGGCCTGGAGTTGTTCCTGTGGAGTGGGATATATTGGGGTACCTGACTATCGCCGTACGTGGTTACATATAGTTGTTGGAATTGACATGATTGAACTGACTTGTTGAGGATTACATATATAAGAGGAATTGGTCCCTGGAAATCCATCATTCTTGAGTTTACCTTCGCGGAATGAGGATCCTTATGTAGCGTACAAAATAGTCTCTTTTACTCTTACAAGAACTCTTCCCAATGAAGAAAAGTGGCACTTGTGATGAATTCAAAGCGCCATTTCCTTGAATGGAGGAGTGGTCCTTCCTCCCGGGGTTCAAACTTCGGTGCTGCTGCCCTCACCGTTGGTGCTGTTGCTGCTGTGGGTGGCCGTGGGTTGTTATTGCAGCGACGTGCCACGGCCGTGAAGAAGAAGGGCGTGCGTGTGGTCGAGGGCAAGGAGAAAGCTGGAAAAAAGCTAATCTGAAGGAATGTTACAGCCAAGGTCCCTGCATGGAATCTTTGCTGTTTAACTATATAGATCTATAAGAAGCTCGATTGTGCGATTGAAATGAGGTCAATGATGCCCAGTGGATTGTAACACAAACAAATAAACACCCTCTCAACAGAAGATTCTCACGCATCAACTGTTGCCCTTCAGAGGAGATCCCGTGGAACCTCTTCAGCCCGAAGGCTCCGTACCAGGGCAGCTGCATCAGCAAGGAGACCATCACCAGCAAGACGCCACTGGTGAACTGGGAAACCTGCCACGTGATCATGGACCACGGTGGTAAGGTGCCATACATCGAGGGCCAATCCATTGGAATCATCGCCCCTGGTCCTGACAAGAAGGGCGAGACTCCTGCGAAGATTCGTTTGTACTCCATTGCATCCTCAGCACCGGGGGATGACGAGACCAGCAAGACTGTGTCTTTGGTGGTGAAACGAGTTCTTGAGGTCTCGGGCAAGGGCTGGTGCGAATACTCCAATGTGCCCAAGGGTAAGGACCCTGAATTCCCAGATGCCGAGAAAGTCTACCGTGGCGTGTGCTCGAGTCACGTTTGTGACTTGAATGCTGGAGATGATGTGATGATCACCGGCCCCACCGGTGCTGAAATGCTACTGCCAGAGGACCCTGAGGCCAACATGATTTTCATGGCCACAGGCACCGGCATTGCTCCATTCCGCTCTCACTTGCGCTATCTCTTCCATGACAAGGCCACCAAGGGCAAGTTCAAGGGCGTGGCGTGGATGTTCCTCGGTGTGCCTTACTCAGAGTCCTTGCTCTACGACGAGGAGTGGAAGGAGATGCAGGCTGAGTTCCCCGACCAGTTCCGATACGACTACGCCATCTCCGGAGAGGAGAAGAGCGAGAAAAACAAGATCAACGGCCACTTGGATTTTGCTGCACTTGCACTATCTTTATGACGTGTGCACTATCTTACGCTCTTCTAGCTACACTAGATCGACATAGCTGTTCAATCCGTTGACCATATCATGGTGTTTTAATATGTTTTTAACATGTTTTATCTTTCAAGGTGAGCCTTAAGCCTGGATCATATCACGGTTATGGTACATACTTTTGCAGTCTTTTACATACCTTTACTTTTTGTATCTTTTTGTTAAACAATATGTTTTGCGATTCTTGTGCAACAAATGTTTTTTTTTTTATTGCATCGAGTAAGTGTGCGATTTTTTCTCTGTGGATTTGTTGGCACAGCTGCTTTTGGTATCTTTCGGTCACTGATGCTGCGCAAAGGTGAGATGTGGGTGCAGCACAAGATGATGCAGTACACCGATGACCTGTGGGAGTTGGTCAAGGAGATTCTTCCGGCCGTGTAGCGGGGGTTCTCAACTTGGGTAATTTCTATTCGATCCTATTCAGAGAATTCGGGAAGACACCGTGGATTCGGTTCATTTCTTACTTGTTTGGCCGGAAGAGTTGTTTTTGGATGTTTTTGGTGTACTTGGGATTTGCCATTGACATTTGCAAAGGTCACGCGGCTTGCTGTTAAATGATGCCGGAAAGCTTTATACTGTACATGCCCCAAGAATGGACATGGTGGCAAGCAGGTGTGATGATGATGATGATGATGATGATGATGAAGCTCCCATGTGCGTTTTTGCGGCAGGATCCCAAGACTCATGTGTACATGTGCGGCCTCAAGGGCATGGAAAGCGGCTTTGCGGAGTGCTTCCAGGAGTGAATGGCAAGCCCATCGTGCCATTTTTTATTTGAGGTCATGAGGTCATGACGTCATGATGTCATGATGTGAGGGAGAGACATATGGCCTCCACATGAGCGGATCAGCTGTCAAAACTGTGGGAATTGGAGCAGCTCCCAGGAGCGCGTTGAGGCAGAAGGCATGGACTTCTCCCAGGAGTTCTTGAAGAAGATGAAGAAGGACAAGCGCCATTTGGCATCGGATATCTTGGGATATCTTGGGATGATCACGGAATGTGGACTCTTCGGAGTTGGCTGATCTTTGGGGAAGTTTGGCGGATATCATCAGTATATCTAGAATATATATATATATATATTATATGTGCGTGTGTGTGAAACAAGAACCTAGAAATTAGTTGAGTTGCCTTGAGAACTGAGGCTACCACGTTGAGGTCTACTAATAGCTCTTCAGCTGGGTGACACCTGTGACATTAGCTGTGCATGCTGTCATTCACCAGGTGGCGACAGTTAGGTTTGTTTTCGCGGCGTTGTGCTGAAGACTATTCATGTCCATTCAGGTCCGAATAGTTTTCAATAATTTCAATACTTCATTTGCAAAAATGTGATTTTCCTTCTTAAGTGCCTCTCGGGCAAATATCAATGTCAGCATGATGTGATGATGTTTCTAGTTCACAGCAGTGCCCGCTTTACGGTATGGCAGTCTACCCCTCTTACCCGTCCAGGGCGGGGGGTTGAAGCTGCTGGAACCGTCTCAGTACTTGCGGATTGGCCTCCGTGCTTAGCGCTTCAGCTGGTTTTCAAGTTGAATTCAAATCAGAAGCCGATCCTGAGTGCTGCAAGATGCTTCGCAGCATTATGCAAACGCAGATTTTCCAGCATATGCTTTCAAGTTCTCTCGGCTTTGTGAGAGAACCACAATGTAAAACCTGTGAGATCTTCGCCAGATAGCAAAGGAAGACCTGCTGACTTGCTGCTGGGCAACATGTATGAGATAACTAGGTAATCTAGAAGGGAACATGTATAAAATCGGTGTGACACCACATGACATCAAGAATACGATCCCGTACTCATTGCAACCAAGGTTCAAGTGACGTGGCATCCTTTGAATCAACATGCATTAACATGTCCTGGCCATGTCAACTGTTTTGTGCCAGCCACCTGGTAGCTGGATTTAACAGCTGCATCCTGCATGCCATGGCCAACACGCCAGGCGATACTTTGGCAGCAGAAACCCCTGAAGAGGTGCGACTTGGAGCATTGCTGGGAGGTACCGCAGGGAATTTTAAGACGGCAATGGAGAATGCTCAGTTCCATTGAGACAATCATTCTCGTAACCAATTGGGGAGCATGATAATTTTAAAGATCTATTATATTTATACCCACAGACGCCGTGTGTTGCCCAGACATTAACATTGAGAATGTCGTGCTGTCGAATATATGTTAGGAGAGATTGCAGAAAATACTGCATATATAATACGCATTGTTTTCCAGTTTAGGATTCAAAGTTTTCAGAGCCTAGGTTTTAGGGTTTTAGGGTTTGGGGGTTTTAGGGTTTAGGATGGTTTAGGGTTTGAGGGTTTAGGGTTCGTCGTCTTGGAAATCTCAAAACACTGGCGCTGCGCAGGTGTTTGAGCATGTTGAAGGATAATGTTCAAACATGGGGAAACGCCGGAGGGACCTTCCGGGCAACACACAGCGCCTGGCCGTATTTATATATTGCGGGCGATGCAGGGGCTTTTCCTGGCAGCTATGCAGATCTCGTTGAGTCATCCGCTTTCCAGTGTCAGGGATGCTTACAGAGATTCTTGGCCGACATCCTGGGGAAGGATGCCGTAGTTTGCTACCCAGATTTTAGAGATGGAGCAGTGCAGCCAGGTCATACCATGTACCCCAAAACCCCAAAGCAGGGCACCTTTCCCATCCAACCCGAGACTGGGGTTTCTTCCAGTAAAGCCAACGTAGTGTAAGCTAGTTGGACATTTGATGATGACAACATAGGCTGGATTGTAGCCAGACTAGTACCCTTAGATAGATGCTTAGCTTAGCCTTTTCTGCATCGGAAGGGGTTTCCATTTTCCCGACGAAACTTGACACTTTTTGCAAGGGATCAAAAACACCAAGTGTAAGAAACATAGAGGAAGTCCAAGTAAGATTGTAATACAACCATTTACTGTACGACAACTGTATATAGATCTTTTGCAGGCTATCGAATGAGCATTCATAAATTGGTGTCTTTTCGTGGGCAAATAGACATAGAATGGTATCCATTGTATTGTATTATTATATAGTTTTTATTTGCTATTGTTCAGCAAGCACCTGAAAAGTCGTCATGAATCATTGAATCATTCCTTCGTGAGGCCGCAGCAGCAGCCTGTGGCATCATCGCCGCGATGCAAGCTCTGCGCGGCCCTCCAGGCCACTGTGGGGTTGATCGAATATACAAAGAGTCAGACTAGATATAAAGCAAGCAGAAGAAAGGTTAGGGCGCAAACATTTGGTCTCTCTTTCCTTCAATATTCTTAACCAGAGACTGCTTGGGAGTAGTGTATGTCATTCATACTTGTTACCTGTATGTACATCAGCAGCCCTATAGTACTATTTCATACCTAGTCATACTTTTCATACTATTTCTACCATTTTCTACCTATTTAACCCTATATTTCCCTTGTTTTGGTGTATCTTCATACCACTGAACCTCAGGACACAGCACAAGCCATTCCAGATCCAAACGGGCCAAGGTGAAGTCGTGTCCCTGACCTTGGCGATGGACGGAGTCAGGGCCCAAACACGACAGGCGGTAACTTTTAACCCTAGTCTGAAACAAAGTGCGCCAAGGTCGCATACCACTGTATAAACCTGTAATATTATATTGTTATTTCTTGATATTTCTGGATGTTTCTTGGCACGTTAATCTGGGCCAAAAAAAACGGCAAGTAAGTACCTCAGCTGACTAGTCCATACAGGCTGCCTGGAGGGCGAGTCGGCATCCTCCTGGGAATCGCCAAACGTAGCGTTGGCTTAGTTGGCTCACTGCCTCGCCATGGTCGCTGTGCGATGGCGGGCCGCAGGCGCCGCAGCCGCACTGGTCTTGGGAACACTGGCGGCACATTGGTTGCGGCGCCTCAAACGGCCACAGCAGAACAAGATTGCGGAGATGGCCCGGGACCCTCGTGGTGAACAAAAAATCGAGTTGCATCGAGTTGCTGAATTTTTGACTTTGTTTGTTTTCCTCAGACCAGGCTAAGTTGTTCAGACAAATCATAAAGCGACAATGTAGCAGGGTGACTGAAATGCTCCCAGTCTCCCCACATTATGTCATTTTGGGATATTTTGGAGCCGTTCAACTGCGCTCATAGATTTCCAAGGAAATTTGGCGGCTGCTGAAGGAGCGACATCCCAAGACGATTCTAGGAGTTACAGATGAACGGTATCAGCTCCCACCATTCATCGCCAAGGCACGCGAAAATCACGTGAAGCTCAATATTCATAATATTTAATCTTCTTCCCTGCCTGTGGGATAGTTATGGACAGTTGGCACCAAAACAAGGGGATAGGCAGAGAAATGATGGAAACGACCCGCCTCCACCGCTTGGACTAGGCAGTGTGGAGCCAATTGGGTGATGCCTTGAGAGACTGCGAGTTCCCTGTGATGCATCGAATTCCTGGGGAGCGCTTCATCACTTTGCGCCTGGACGGCAGTGGTTCCTTGGTCGGAGTGGATGGTGGCAGGAGTTTCATTTAAAGAGTCAAAAAGCTAAGCCAGTTGCTGAATACCCTGTAGAAGCCATTGTTTTGGAGGTTATTTGAGGGCTCAGATTGCCTGATCCATGACTGTGGCCTTTGTTTATGGATAAATAGAGAGCTTATCTCTTCCGCTTTCAGCAGCTTGGCCTTGAGGCTTCTCCAAGTTGACCAAACGTCTAAGCAGCTCAGGCAGTGGATGGGGAGGGACAATGCTATATTAATTGGCATGTTATGTAATTAAGATGTAATAGGATCACACACACACATGATATTATATATATATATATATATATTATAGTCTTAAAAAAAAACATATACAATATACACACGTTATATATAGGTGCTATGATTCTAAGTCCTTGGCTCATGTTTGTTGTTTCATCCCGGAAAGTCAGGTGGTTTTTTCTCTCAGCAACCAGGTGCATTCTCCGAGGGCTATTCAGGCGAGTTCGCACAGCTGATGCGAGAATGCTGCCAGTCATTGATGGTGAAGTTCAGTGCCATTTGTCGCTTAGCCAGATTTTAATACCCAGCTGTGGAGGGTATTGGAGGGAAGGGTTGGTTGTTGAATGATGCGAAGATAATGGGAAATTTCAATTAACTGCCATGGCTGAATATAACAATGGCTTATTGATAAACACATTATAAAAATTGATAAAGCTATATTTGAGAGATATGGGTTGGGCCTATGTAGGCTGATTAAGATAGGATTCTGGGAAACGTCAACAGCATTTGGGGAGGCTAAACTTCAGGAGTTGATGAACTGATTGGTGAACTGTAGGGGCTATAGGGTGAAGGTGGTGGTCCTCCATGTCTTCCCCAGTGCCACCTAGTGCCACCTGGCTACCCCATCAAGTGCTGCAATTCTGCTTGAAACGAGTGTTTTATATTTGTTTATATATGATGATAGGATAGGAATGTATAACAATTTTGTAGTTTGGAGTTCGGAGATGTTTGAACGCTTCTAGCAACACTAGCCTGCCACCCCTCGGTACACCCTGTTGTTTTTCTTGCTGATTCGGATATGTTTCCTCCATTGAAATCTGATGCAAAAAGGGAACATGATCCCAGCAAATCCAGCAATTACTGTAGACCACTCCCAGCCACCACCACCATCTTAATGTTGGTTAATGTTGTTTAGTGGTTGTTGGTTAAGGTACTACTGTCGACCACTAACCAACATTAACCAACATTAGCCAGTGGTACTGAATCTACTAACCAACATTCCCATCTACTAATGTTAGCAATGTTGGGTTAATGTTGGTTAGTGTTGGTTACTGTTGGTTAGTTCTTATACTAACCAACACTAACCAGTTTGAACGGTCGGTGGTACTCGCCTGGTTGGAGGTGGCTATACTCAGTCGGATGAGATGACCTTGGTCATCTCACCTGCCAGCGTCGTGCGAGGGGAACAGCAATGCCATTCGCATGGCGGACGCGTTGTGAAGCTCTGTGACTTGTCCAGTTACTGTGTGTTACTGTTACTTTCTAATTACTGTTACTTCCTTAATTACTAAATTACTTTTATAATTACTAGTAATTATATACTAATGACTAAATTACTGTTAATTACTAGTAATTACTAATTATATACTACTAAATTACTGTTAATTACTAGTAATTACTAGTTAATTACTGTTCATTGGCGACTGGCAAGAGATATTAGATGATATTAGAGCGTGAGCTGTCAGATTTTGTTATGCTTGGCTTTGCATAACTCGTCGTTTTATAGCTCGTCGTTTTCTTCACCGATCAGCGAGGCACGCTGGCCGCGGCGCATGTCACTGCTCTCTTCAACTTCCGATTGCAAGCTTTGTGGCAGGGTTGCAGAAAGGACATGAAAGGACAATGTTGGAAAAATCCGGGCAGTGATGAGTTGAACCTGCCATGGTGCTGCCATTTTTTAAACATATTTTTTGAGTCAACACCTAAGAGAAGCCGCAGTACAATAGTTGAATCTACTTTGAGACTGGGCTTTGGATTCGCTTTGTCAGACATGTAGCAGTAGAACATGACCTTGGTGACGATGACGATGACCGAGACATTTGACGGCCAACTATGATGGTCGGTCATCCCTTCGATCACTCAACTCACTGGACCAGGTTTGCAAGGAGAGGCCTGCAGATGGAAGATCAGCACTTGGCCAATTTCGACTGCAGATTGGGAACTTTCGCCACATTAGAAGAGGCCATGCCCTGGCATCATAAACATATCGCATCAATGCTTGCAAACTTGGTCTGGTCCCTGAAATGTAATTCAATCACAAGTTTATGAATATATATATATATGAATATATCACATCAACATACTTCCTGTTTGGTAAGAATTCTATGGGACAGGCAAAGGCGCAAGAAACGCCAGTAGACTGAACACCTCTCAGAATGCAGCTGGTATCTTTCTGATGCTTCGCATTGCTTCACTTCAGTTTAAAACCGTGCTTAAACATAGAATTACTCAGAAATGGATAGAAAGGGAGCTTTCGGGTGCAAGTGCTGTGTACGATTTGGCAGAGGCTATGTCCCTAGTGCTGTGGAGAGCTGCAGACTGCGGTGTGAACGGTGTGTCAGATGCCGTTTACAAATCAAAGCTGCCTGGTGCGAAGAGCACAATGCGTCACCTGAATGCAATATGTCATAATATGCCCAATAAGGTTTCTGATGGTTTCTGATGGTTTCTGATGGTTTCTGACGGTTTTCTGTGAGAAGTGGCCAGGAGAGACTCAGCCACAGTCAGAATCTTTCAGGGCACCATCTGGGGTGTCACAGCACCAGCCCTCCAGGTCAGTTGCTCCATGTTTCTCAACACGGCCAAGGTGCTGGCACCAGCGACAAGCTCAAGTGGTTAGCCGAAAATGGACTCCTGCCTTTGCAGCCGCATCAGGTAACTTCGGCAGGGTTGCCTTTGAAAGATGGGAAACCTTAGGCCTTCAGTGAAAAGAAAACGATGTTTCCATTTGTTTTCTTATTTTTCAATATTTGCCAATATTTTAATATTTTTTGATCAGCTTTCGTATTATTCCCAAATGCGTAGCAAGGGTTCCCGTTTCACTCTGGGGGTCTGGGGGTTGAGGGTGTGTTCGCTCGACGTTGCGTTCGCGAGCGCAACCGTTCGCAACCGTCCGCAACCGTCCGCAACCGTTCGCAACCGTCCGCGCGATCCCCGTATGGCCGTGCCTATGGGAAGTTTTACAGAGGTGGTCCTTTTTGGAGGTTTCAGACGTGTCGTTGCTTCGTTTCGCGTGGCAGGCGTGGCACTTCGTGACATTCAGACGTGTTCTGGAACGTGTCGAAAGTCGTTTTGCGTGGCAGGCGCAATACTTTTGCGACGTTTTCAGAAGATGTGTTGCAGTTTTCGTGGCAGGCGCAGCACTTTGGACGTGTCTATCGTCATTTTTCGTGGCAGGCGCAGCACTTTAGACGTGTCGCGTTGCGTGTTTTTTGCAAATCGCATTGGCAGGGCTGCGTCAAGTGGCGACAAGGTGCAAATTCCGTGGCAGGCGTGGCATTTTGTGCGATGCGTTGAAAATTGACGGAAGCCTCGCACGAAACATCGATTTTGAGGTTGCCAATTTTCGGGTTCTAAGGAAAACTCGTAGGAAAACGTCGATTTTGAAGCTACAAAGTGTGAAAATTGGAGGAAGTCTCGCACGAAATGCTCGTTTTGGTGCTCCCACCTGTCTTGTCTCGCGTCTCTGGTTTTCCCGTGGCCTCGCCGTGTCTATGGGGGAAGCTGCAAAACATGTTCTTGCGGCATGTTTCAAACTATGAAAATTGGAGGAAGTCTCGTACGAAATGCTGATTTTTCTGCATCCACGTGTCTTGTCTCGAGTCTCTGGTTTTCCTGTGGCTTCGCCGTGTCTATGGGGGAAGCCGCAAAACCTCTCCTTTTCGAAGGTTTCCAAGCAGCTTGTCATGTCGTTTTGCGTGGCAGGCGTGGCACTTTGTGACATTCCAACGTGTTTGATAACGTGTCGAAAATGTCAAAATTGGAGGAAGTCTCGTACGAAATGCTCGTTTTTCTGCATCCACGTGTCTTGTCTCGAGTCTCTGGTTTTCCTGTGGCTTCGCCGTGTCTATGGGGGAAGCCGCAAAACCTCTCCTTTTCGAAGGTTTCCAAGCAGCTTGTCATGTCGTTTTGCGTGGCAGGCGTGGCACTTTGTGACATTCCAACGTGTTTGATAACGTGTCGAAAATGTCAAAATTGGAGGAAGTCTCGTACGAAATGCTCGTTTTTCTGCATCCACGTGTCTTGTCTCGAGTCTCTGGTTTTCCTGTGGCTTCGCCGTGTCTATGGGGGAAGCCGCAAAACCTCTCCTTTTCGAAGGTTTCCAAGCAGCTTGTCATGTCGTTTTGCGTGGCAGGCGTGGCACTTTGCGACATTCCAACGTGTTTGATAACGTGTCGAAAATGTCAAAATTGGAGGAAGTCTCGTACGAAATGCTCGTTTTTCTGCATCCACGTGTCTCGTCTCGAGTCGTTGGATTTCCTGTGGCGTCGCCGTGTCTATGGGGAAAGCTCCGCACTCCTCACTCCACACTTTACACTCCACACTCCTCACTTTACACTCCACACTCCACACTCTACACTCCACACTCCACACTCTACACTTTACACCCCACACTCCACACTTTTTACATTTTACACTCCACACTCTACACTCCACAAACTAGACTTTCCACTCCACACTCCACACTCTACACTTTACCCTCCACACTCCACACTCCACACTTTACACTTTGCACTCCACACTCCACACTTTACACTCCACACTCCTCACTTTACACTCCACATTCCACACTCCACACTCCGCACTCTACACTTTACACTTTATTAAACTCCTCACTCCTCCCTCCACACTCTACACTCCACATCCCCCACTCACACTCCACACTCTACACTTTCCACTCCCCACTCCACACTCCACACTCTACACGTTGCACTCCACACTCCACACTTTACACTCCACACTCCACACTTTACACTCCACACTCCACACTTTACACTCCACACTCAGCGCTCTACACTTTACACTTTAAACTCCTCACTCCTCACTCCTCACTCCACACTCTACACTCTACACTCTACACTCCACACTCCTCACTTTACACTCCGCACTCCACACTCCACACTCCACACTCCACACTTTCCACTCCACACTCCACACTCCACACGCCACACTCCACACTCTACACTTTACACTCCACACTCCACAGTTTACACCCCACACTCCACACTCTACACTCCACACTCCTCACTTTACACTCCACACTCCACACTCTACACTTTACCCTCCACACTCCGCACTCCACACTCCACACTTTGCACTCCAGACTCTACACTTTACACTCCTCACTTTACACTCCACACTCCTCACTTTACACTCCACACTCCTCACTTTACACTCCACACTCCTCACTTTACACTCCACACTCCTCACTTTACACTCCACACTTCCCACTCCACACTCCACACTCCACACTCCACACCCCTCACTCCACACTCCACACTCTACACTTTCCACTCCACACTCCACACTCCACACTCTACACTCTACACTTTACACTCCACACTCCGCACTTTACACTTTACACTCCTCACTCCACACTCCACACTCTACACTTTCCACTCCACACTCCACACTCCGCACTCCGCACTCCACACTCCACACTTTACACTCCACACTCTACACTTTACACTTTACACTCCTTACTCCACACTTTACAGTCCACACTCCTCACTTTACACTCCACACTCCACACTTTGCACTTTACACTCCTCACTCCTCACTCCACACTCTACACGCTACACTCCACACTCCACACTCTACACTTTACACTCCACACTCTACACTTTACACTTCGCATTCTACACTTTACACACTCTACAGTCCCCACTCCACGCTTTACACTCCACACTCCACACTTTACACTCCACACTCCACACTTTACACTCCACACTTTACACTCCACACTGCAGACTGGTAACAGGGGAAATATGTACAAGACAGTTCAAATAAACTATTGCAGAAAAGTGTTGTGCGTGACTGCATATCCATGTGTTTTGACATCTGTACCATTAACATACGTGTGAGCATTCGGGTTCGTGGGCTTCATCTTGTTTTTTAAACTTGTAGTTTTTATGTGTTATTATTGTTTAACAATAGTTTTCGATTTTTGATATGGTTTTTAATTGTTCAATTGTTGTTTTTGATGTTTTCTTACTTTTCCACCTCAGCAGCCCCAGCCCGAATACTTGCCTACCAATTGGAAACACCATGCTGCTGTTTGATTAGGGCATTTGCTACTGTGTCATGCTGCGTCACAATGCATATTCTACCATATTCTATTTCATTTTATTGGTTTCGCATGGTTTAGCAGCATTATGACGATATTTGTTATTATATATATAATATATATATAACAATGTTGAGGTGTTGGGTCAATTGACCGTTGTGACGTTGCGGCGGATTCCTTGGAGATTTGTATGACTTGTGACATCAGCATGAGCAAACCCATGCTTTATTTGCACAGCCAACAGGCATACGGCTCGTACTTTGTGAAAGTGCGGCGCCTACATGCCAGGTGCTCAGTGCACAAAGGAGTACCATAGGAGTACCATAGGAGTACCATGTGGGAGCTCAAAGTGCAGGGATGCCTGCCATAGGGCAAATGTGTTTCTGCATTCATGTTTTTTCATGAAGTTCTTTGGTGAACATGGGGTTTACTGTGTCTTACTGTAGCACCAGCCAAACACACTTGGTCAGGTCATAATAGGTCATGACTTCATAACAATTTCATACAATTTCAAACATGTTCAAACCGCTGCATCTTTTCACTGAGAATCTGACACTGTTGATGTCGTTGTCATGGAGTTGCGACACGTTACAAGTTTTTGCTCTGCCCAGGAAGGCTTCAACCCCAAAACGGGAGAGACCTCTTCGAGCTTGCGCTCAACCATTGAGGAGGTCTCAAATGTGAACCTTCTGCGCTTGGCAGCCAAGGATGGCTTGTTCCCGCCAGATGATGTGGAAACTGCCTAGGGGCCTAGGGCCTAAAGATGCCCAAGTCCAACGGCCATGCCAGCCCCAGATGCTCACAGCAGCTGTCCCTGCTGATCAGGGAATCAGTGTACAGACCGCTGGCATGGGAAAAGTCAGGGCTATGTGCAGATGCTCTTGTATCTCTAGTGGATGTTTGTTTTGTTTTTTTTGCTGAGGGAGAGAGAGTCAAGACGGAAGTGTTCCTCAGCTGGACAGCAAGTCGTCCCGCAAGTCAAGCTTGGCAGCCTGCAAATCACATTCTAATCATTCTATAAGCCAGATTTGATAGTGATAGCGACATGCCACTGGATTTTCAAGGATACACCTGTGCCATTTGCCTTACGCTTCCTAGTGCCAACCTCAGCTGAAGTGGGGCCAGGTGAGGCGTGCTGCTTGAACTCTAATAGTGTGCTATCCCTGCCTCTTGGTCACCTACCACAATGATGGGCTTTTCATGTTTTCTTCATGATTTATCATTTATCAGCATAGACCAGGCGGCTCAGCTTTGCAACCGGATTGGTCTTCCAGTGCCAAAGATTTCTTTGATGCTATGTCCTGTGTGCATAGCCAGAACAGATGCTATGCCCGCAGCAGTGGCTTACGGAACAAACCGAACGGATCCCAAGGGCACCCCGCATCCAACCATGGGTGATGGAACTCCAGCCATGGGCAAACGCCACAAGAAGACGCACGCTTTGTGCCCTCGCTGCGGGAAGCGTTCCTATCACACGCAAAAGACCGCTTTTCATGGGTCGTGGAGAGCAGGGATCCGAAACAAATTCTCAATCAATTTATGATCTTGCGAGCGTGTGTCTGCAGGAAACAGATTTCTTTTCAAGCTGAAAGATGCTGAAAGGTTCTTCGTTTGAACTTTGAAAAAGTTGCAGATTGGCAGACCACCATGCCGCAGACATTGCTTGAACATGATCGAATGATATCGAATATCCCATGACTGTGCATTGTGGCTGGCTTTGCCCTTCATCAGCGCAGGAAGCAATGCGCCGCCTGCGGCTTCCCAGCGACCAAGATTCGATCCTACAACTGGTCCAAGAAGTCCAAGCGCAGACGAGCACCAGGCACTGGCCGCATGAGGCGCTGCAGGGGTCCTGTCTTCCCGGGCCAAACCATCCAAGCATGCACACACACACATATATATTAGATAATTATATATATATATATACCTAGATCCACAACGTTGTGAAATTTTAGTAACAAAGGTTTTTTCCGGGGAAAAAGGTGACAATAACCTGATTTTGGGTACATATCCCAAAAAAAGTAACAAAGCTCCTTCCACATGTTCCAGTCCGAAATAGTCCCAACAAAAAGGAACACAGGTGATGCCACAAATCCTTGTACAGTCTTTTCACTTTGTGTAGAGGTTGAGCTTCTTGACTTTTTTAAGTCGACGCAATTTGGATTGGAAAGCCACACCGTATCGCTGCAATGTGCGCAGCGTACAAGTTCTACTGCTAACACGCCGAGATATTCTTGCCACTCGTCCAATGAAATCTTCATTGCCCTCGCATGAAAACACGAGCGGCGTCAAAATGTAAGGATGACCATTGGCCACACACATTTTCGTTTCAAAAACGGTTTCCGCCAGAGAATGGAACTTTGGCCTTAGGCCAAACAAAGGTTTTCCTATATCCATCCCATGTTGGGCAGCATAGTTGTATGCGCGCAGCGCCACCAGACCCTCTAGATACATGAACTCAGCACATGTTGTAGGCAACCAAAGGTCATGGCTGTACTGCAGGGAAATAAAATTCAGAAGGCTCTCGGTCAACTGCATGACTGCACTCAATATATCCCGATGATCAGGATGTTTCATCTCGCGCTGGCACATAGGAATGAAAAATTGCAGAAACATAAGCACCAACGTAGTGTCCGATCCCTTTCCTCCAAGATAAGGGAAAGGCGAACCAGTCATATGAAGATTTGCTTTGGTGAAATTTTTCAGAGATGGAGTTTTGCTGTTCGCCAAGCACCACAGCTTGAAAAACATGTAGCCCCGGTGAAGTCTATCTACAATGTTTCTGGTATCATCTTCCGAATCAAAGTAGGCCAGGTGAGCAAGAAGGATCAAAACCGAGGCTGCCACCTCTCGTCCCACCCCATGCTTCACGATGTGGAACATGTCTCTTTTGTACAGGTTTGCTGGAAAAGAATCGCTGAATGGAATCTGGCTCAATGGTGGCGGCGACAAAGGGTCCCAAGGAACAGATGCCCCAACCTTACATTGACTGTATCATCACCCAAAGAAATGATACCCAAACATTATGTATTGTTATTTCCCCAACATATTTTTTCTTGGAAGAAACGCATTTAAACTGATGTTAATTCCAGACAAGTAACGCTGTCTAGCCAGCAAGGAGAATCGCTAACATCCCCGAAATTGCTTGTAGAAGCGTCACAGTATGGGCACATCGCAAGGTCTTTCACAGTTCCAACAGTTTGGTATGATCTCAAAAATTCACCCGCGTCCACATGAAATTCAGCATCTCCTTTGCAACCAATCATCGCAAAGTGGAACCTTTCACCATTTATTTCCAGCCCTTCTTCAAAAAGAAGACAAAAGCATTTGGCTATGTCCCTCAAAACTTCCGGCAGGATCTCGGAGTTTGTTGAGAATACAGACCAGGGCACAGCGGTAATCAAAAACCTGGATAAGTAGGAATGTCCTTAGTTTCGAACTGTAAATCCAATAACCCAAACCAGGTCATTGTCACCTTTTTCCCCGGAAAAAAACCTTTTGGGATCTAGGATCTTACTACATTTTTTTTAAAAAAATATGTTTCATTGTTGTGGTTAAAACTACATCTACATCACGGTAACTTTGTGGGTTTACACAGTCCCCAAACGAACACCATATAGATATTGGGGAAGGCTTTTAGAACATATTATAACTATTTGAGACGGTGAAATTGCTGATGCACTTTGAAGGTGTCCTAAAATGGGGGTACCCAACACGGATAGTTCAGAATGGAGATCGGAAAGTCTTCTCAAAATAGATGTTTTGGGGAAGCACGATTTTAGGAAACCTCACATTGGAATAGTATTTAGCTTAACATCAACCCGGGCCAAAGCCAAGCGCAAGTTGCCCAACGTGTTGTGCGTTTGGACTTCGTCCATGGAAGCCCCTTGACGTCGAAGATCAATGGTGCATGGGCAGGCCCCATGCGGGTCCAGGGTGGGCCGCGACACTGAAAGGGAAGCCCTTCGTTCTGGACATGTTTGGGCTAGTAGGTGACCATACTCATATTTCTCATTTTTCCTTTTCATGTCAGGTTCTACAGCACATTGGCGCAAACCTTCCGGTAACCCCCATACAGCCTCGAAAGAAAAAACTGCTATAGGGGACTTTTTCAGCGTTCGGCCTTTGTCCCCATGCATGCATACTGGGATTACTCTTTTAAGTTCTTCCGCCCCAAAGCGTTTGTAGACAGCATGGTCTGGTTGCGTGTTTCGAAATCGTTGCCAAAAAGTTTCGCAGCGCCTGTATGCAGCAAGGCCCACACTGTCTCCACCCAGCAACAACTCCGGGTGTTTCGCCAGGAGGAAGCTTGCCATATCTTTCACCTCCCCGGGGGTTATTTACATTCCGAAATTTTTAAAATTAGGTGAGAATACCCCAAAATGAAAATACCCCCAAAATGATTATGAATAGTAAACATTATCAACCATAACCGTTTCAACAAATTTGCACAAATCAGTCACCCGAAAGCCACAACCCGCCTTGTAGCAAGGGATAGTAGTACATATACCATCATCTTGGGGAGGCACTTCAAGATAGCTAATTGGAACCCGCAGTGACAACCAATATCTTTTGAAGATATTGTGGGCATCCCTTTCACTATTCTTGGGTTTCTGCTGGGCAGCACTGAACATTGCAGCATTCCTCGAACCATCCGCCAGGCAAGCCCTGGCCATGGTGCCAAGCTGACGAGCAGGAGCCTGGGCCGGGCCAAGTCTGTCTAAAACCCAAAGCCCCATGATGGGAGAGAGTTTTGTTGAGGGCTTTCCATCAGAAGGTAAAGGACATATGTTTCCCAAGGGCCCGGCACCCTCAGCCACATCTTCCGCTAATGCTTCTAGAGCACGGGTGCTGGCTTGCTGTTCACCTGGCTGGAACTGAGTCTAAGATGGATACATTAATGAGGAGTATATATATATATAATATATATATATATATAACATACTATATATAACATACTATATATAAATATATGTTATGGCAATACAGTATTTTGTGATATATGCCGGGTAGATCAAAATGACATCTAACAAGTTCTGTTGCGCAATGGACATCAGAGAAGTTCATGAACCTGTGCAGTCCAAACTTTTTTCACCTTTGCAGCAGAGCGGACTTGATGTGACGCAGTTGGGTCTTTTCTCAAGCACATGTCAATTTACTTGACTCTCCTACTTTTCCTGCTTGGCTGGGGTGCTTTCTCCTCCGGCTCACTGGCTTGCGCTTTTGCTTTCGGTTTCGGCTTCGGTTTCGCAGCCGGCTTCGATTTGGGAAGAGCTTTCTTGGGAATCACCGTCCTGATTCGCAGTGGGCACAAAAATTTGTTTAATTGATATCGTAAAAAAAGACATAGAATATGCATACATGTGGGTTCATCACTTCTCTTGACCATCAACCAAAAAAGGCCCCACACCAACCGGCCGTCAAACTCACTCCTGGCACGTTGCTCCAAGCTCCATGACTCCAGGAGCCTTGGAAAAGGGAAGCGACTGAGGAGGAAGAGGCGCCAAGGGAGAAAGGGGACCAATGTTTGAGCTTTAAGATCAGTATTGTTAATGCAAATGTCTTGGAGCAGGACAGGGTTCTGGCTTCATCCAAAATTTTCTTGAGATCAGCCTCTCGCCTGGGTGACCCAAACAAAATTCTTGCTGGTATAAATATATATATACCTATACTGTAGCAAACAAGTATTACTAGGTTTCACACTTCTCAGAGGGCCCTTCTAGGATAATCTGGTTGTGGAGGTTGTTCATGGAATCCGAAAGTGTATCCATCCTTGAATACATGTCGGACACCTTGTCTTTCATCCTTAGATATTGCCAGGGCAAAAAGCTGGCATGTGATTGAGAACAATGTTTCCTTTTAGCATGCATGCAGCATATGTGCTATTCCACTGGTGGGTTTGGCGCCCAACAAGTAATGTATGCAAACAGGGCTCTTCAAAAAAATGGTTGAATTTGTTTCTGCTGAGCCCATCTCCGTCTTGAGCTCATCCAGTTTGCCCAAACGTTTGGTCAAGCTTGTCACAACTTTGGGAAGCAACTGGGACCGCTTATCCGCCTGTTCAGTGTCTGGGTATCCCAATCGTTTCAATGTTTTCAAATTCTCCTGAAGCGAAGGTGGCACAGCGGTGTCCTGGGAAGCATCATAGTTGCCTCCTCCACCTGCCAGGACAGGAAATGCGAATCAAAGAGAACAATTGAGGACTGCATGGGGTATAGGGAGGAGAAGGCGTTTGGAATTTCATCCTGTGCAAATCCAAGATATGGAATGCAACCCTTCGGTCTAACACCCCAACAATCTTGTACACCAAGCTGGGATGAAACCTTGCCTTCAAGCGGCTCAGTCATGTTCAGCTCCATCTCAATGCCATCAGTTTCAGTCTCGTACTCTTGCTTCTCAGAGTAGGAAGCCTTCACGCGGTCCCTTAGCCACGCAGATGGCCAAGAACACACGGTTGATTTTTCAACATACGGTTAGAAATTAGATATCTCAAGATTTCTTAGGACACTTCTGGACCTAACATGGAGTGCTAAGTCTATAGAGGTTTCCATTGTTTATAATGGTCTGCTACTAACTAAGCAGCTAAGGCAAGGAGATTGAATTCTGATTATTTACTTTTTTTTGAAGAAAGGTATATATATAGCGCCTGCAAGCTATCTTTTTTTTTTTTGGCAGTGGGTGTTTATGATGGTCATGCCTGGGCAGCCATGGCACTTGGAATGGCCACTGACTTCAAGTTCCATGTAGTAGGTCCATTCCCCTTTCTGTTCGTTCCACCTGACAAAAAATTCAACACAAATGCTGGGCTGTCATCAGCTGCTGGTATCCTTGAGTTAGT